TCTGATTTCCCTTTGCCACTATTTTGTTGAGAGTTTTTATAACAATGTTCATAAAAGGTGTTGGTCTATAGTTTTCTTTCCTTGTAGAGTCTGCCTAGCTTTGGTATCAGGGCAGTCCTGGCCTCAAAAATAAGTAGTTTAGAAGTGCTCCCTTCTCTTCAATTTTCAAGAAAGTTTGATAAGAACTGGTATTAGTCCTTCTTTAAATGTTTGGTAAAATTCACCAGTGAAGACACCAGGTCCAAAGCTTTTCTTTGTTGGAGACTCTTGATCCCTGATTTAATCCTTTTACTAGTTATAAGTCTCTCCAAATTTTCTATTTCTTTATGATTCAAACTTTGAAGGTTTTGTGTTTCCAGGAATTTGCCCATTTCATCTATCTTATCCAATGTGTTAATGCACCATTGTTCACAGTACTATCTTACAATCCTATTTATTTCTGTAAAATCAATAGTAATGCCTGCATTTTTATTTCTGATTTCAATACTTTGGATATTCTCACTTTGTCTCGTAGTCCATTTAGCTAAAGTTTTGTCGATTTGTATAGTCTTTTCAAAGAAAAAACATTTTGTTTTATTCATTTCTCTATTTTTTTCTATTCTCTATTTTATCTCTGCTCTAATCTTTACTACTTCTTGTTTTCTCCTGGCTATGACTTTGCTACACTTTTTAAAATCATCTGAATATTTCCGACAGATATTTTTTTAAAGCTTTCTGCAAAGTTGCCTTGCAAATATTTTGTTTTACTGCCTTAAGTTAACACACAGTCCCACTGTCAAATTCACCTCCCTCCAAAGCCGCAAATACATTCTCCTCTGTTATAAAGTCAAACTTAAAAGACTGCTGTCTCCAGCTTGCATCAAATTAGCTCATTTGAAGAACATTTTCAAAGCAAGCGAAGCTCCTGGGTCATTTTGAGTTTCGTTCTTTCTTTCCCAGCCCCCTCACTTAAGTAAGCAGATGCCAGCAAGCTTATCCCCAGGACCTTCACTGTCCCCAGTTTGATGGATTTTTGCTTCCACCAGTGGAATCTGAGGATACCAACTTCACCCTGAAGATTTAGCTGACAAGCAAACATTTTGAGACAGAAGGTATGTGATGTAGGACCATTTTTGGGCCCCTAGGTCTGATTTGCCTTCAGGGCTGCGTGCCTTGATGAGAAGTGTGCAGGTTATACGCTATTGCAACTCCCAATATCCAGAAATGATACATAATTATCCCAGCAAGGAAACAGTGCTCTCTCCCGTCTGTATCAGCTTCATCCTCTTGGAGACAGAAAGGATAAAGTGAGTTCAAAGGGCAGACGTCTCAGCCCCCAGACGGCCCCACCCAGACACAGGCTCTCTAGAAACAAGGAGCCCGAGATGCTGTAATTGACCCCGCACATCTGCCTGCAGCCCAGAGGCTGAACCCTAGCAATGAGCACTAGATAGTAACCTGCCCTTTCTGCTTCCGGCTTGACCACCAGCTCCCCATAGTATGAACTTTTCAGCACGCTTGCTGTTCCATGGACCTATTTCAAAGAGGTGACCAAGCCAGATCAAATCCGTTTAGTAATAAGCTAAAAATTATTGCTCTTTGTTAAGACTCTATGCCTTCTTTCCATCACCAACATCAGGAGGGGGAAGAGTAGGGGCAAATAAGACAACTTGCTTATTTCTACAAGCTGCTATTTCTGCCCCCTCCTGTCATCTACAAGGTGAACCCCTCACCTGGGGAGTCAGCTGGGGAAGGGGCAGAAAGCCCTGTACCTTGCCGATTGGCTGCTGAGCCCCCATCCCACCCAGACACCTGCAAGAGGGCATCGAAGGGCTGTGATGTGGCAGCTGGACCTGTGCAGACCGCCACTTCTTAGCACCAAGGTGGGTTTAATTTATTATGTGACCACTTCAAATGGATTGCAGCTCTCGCCTGAATGGCTGGCTGTATTTGCATACCTTATATTTACAACTGACAGATAAAAAACTCCTCTGAGGTAGGGACTGCAGGCATGTCTATTAATAAATCACTAGCAGGGGAAGGAAAAATCAGAAAGAGTTTCAAGCCTCATATTAGAAATAATTATGTTCACAGATATAAAAGCACAGTTGTACGGAGAGATAAGCACACAGAAGGAGATCCTAGTCCTCCTCTCAGGGTTGGGGGGGGGTGCTCCCCAACCCTGCCTCCTCTGGGGAATAATGGTTGCCCTGAGTGGTGTGCTGTGAGCCACTGTGGGAAGGACACGGTCAGGGACCAAGACGTGGTCTGTCTCCTCCATCAGCATGCTGGGCAGCTGGTGGTGGGTGGTGTCCTGTGATACACAAGGCATCTGTGGGCCTAGCCCCCTCTGGATGGTCCGGAGTGACTTCAAGGGGACGGGCAAGGGGAAGACGTGCTTGTGGTTTAGAAGGTCACTCATGACCCTGCAATAAGCCTACAGTCCTGTGTCAGAGCAAAGCCTTTTCCTACGGTCTCCATCCCTCATCTTGAGGCCAGGAGGCAGCTGGCCATGGACGTTACAGCCCAAGTGTCCCTTTGACGGTGTGAGGCACCCATGCCCAACCTCACTCAGACATCCCTCTTTGAGAAGTCTGGGGACAGGCATTGGCAGCAGGCTGAACAATAAGGAGTCACCATCCTTAATGTCCCTCTCCTCGAAGGTGAGTCTGAGATCCCCGGTGCCCTGAAAATTCAGGAGCAAAAGTCAGAGTTGGAAGTGGGGGGCTGATCTCAGTAACTCCCTCCAGTGTTTTTTCCTCAATAGGTCCTGACTGCCTCTACTAAATCTTCTTGGTTGAATTGGATGAGAAGAAATGACCTGGGAAAATGATACCCAAGCCACAAAGATTCATATGAGCTCCAGGGAGTTCACCCCAACTCTTTGGGCCAAGAGTTTATCTCTTTCCCGTAGGGACATTCTGATCTGTTAAGTATGACAGTCTCTAAGCCAACTGTACAGAGTTGATTTATGAATATAATAACTCAAGAGGGCTGCCGGGAATAAGGAACATCAAAAGATGCCCCAGAAAATCCAATGGCCTTAGAAATCGCTATGAGCACTCCCAGCCATTTGTGCAGAGATAGTTCCTTTCAACAGATTCCTAGAATGTGTTAGTCTATCCCACCTCAAACTTTCTTGGCATTTTGGTCCTGACTGTGTGACACAAGATAACACACAATAAACCCCAGTCTTCCATTCCGGGAACCAGCGGCATCCTGGCAGTGCTCGGTCATAAGAACCATTCTTCTTCATCTTGGAATAGAACATTCTGGAGAGTGAAGCCATAGTGACGCTGCTGCAGCCAAAACTGAAGGGTGGTTGGCTGATTTTCCTCCTTGGTTTTAAACAAATAGCTTGCAATGGGGAGAGGCGAAATCCCTTGGCCAACCTGGTATCAGAATCACCAATCTCTAGTAGTTTCAGTAACTATGACAGGAAGAGAGGAAATCCAGCTGTGTCACTGAGCTCAAAGAATACATCTGGCACACCTGCCCTGCAATTACTGGGATTCCTTCTTATTTTTTTATATTAACTTTTATTGGACTGCAGTCAATTTATATCCTTCTTCCTTACTGTTTGCAGAGATTAAAGAAACAAACTGACAGGTGCCCCCATCCTCAGGGTTCTGACCAGGAGCGTCCTGTCTTGCCTGAGATGAGCCCATGGTCACTGACATGCTCTATGTCATTCTCTCTGAGGGCACCTTAGGGCGGGAGGTTGCTCATCAACAGAGTTTAAACACTTTCCTCTTAATTTTTTGGCTTCCACGATCAAATCTTAGACCCTAAATGTGATACTAATATGTGAGACCCCTCCCTGAACCTCCCACTCCATGTCGGGAGCAAAGCTGTGAGCGGACACACTGGTGCAGCGTCGAAGTCATCCTGGGAAATCTACATCTGGACCCTGGAGACGCTGGGAGCTGTTGTCTCCGGGGTGGCCTCCAGGAAGCCACCCAGCATCAGCGTGGGGACTTCCCTGGTGGTCCAGAGGCTGAGACTCCATGCTCCCAATGCAGGGGGCCCGGGTTGGATTCCTGGTCAGGAAACTAAATCCCACATGCGGCAACTAAGACACAGCCAAATAACAGAGCCAAGTAAATAATTTTTTAAAAAATCAGCAAGGATATCATCCACGCCAGAAATCAGCAGCTGCATTGTAAAATGTCCAGGAAAGCACAGGGAATGATGAACCTATTGAGAAGTCATCTAATATAAGTTTAAGGAAGGCACTGCTGTGGGGTCAGGCCTCAACCCCCCAAACAGAGACGTGTCTGTTTGCTTCAGCTCATTTGTTCTAACAGCAGAGGCTCCTCTCTGCAGGAATGTGTGTGGGTGATTCATGCTGAGTCATCCCTGGGAACCGAGAGGGAGCCCCCCAGCGGGGGAAGCATATGGAGAACTGCCGGGCCTCCAGGCACAGTCCCCAGGGGAGGTGGGAGCTCCCGGCCCAAGCGGGGAGACAGTGGCTGATCCTGGACCCCAAGGCCCCCCGGACCCCTGGCAGTGGTGTCCACTAGCCTGCTGTCTTGTCATCCTGACCCAGACACAGAAGTCACACGTTCTGGTAGCTCAGTTTCTTTTCTTATGTCTCACTAAACCCTATGATTAAGCTGGGAGAACTAACTGAGGATTGAGAATCAATGCAGTGGTAATGTTAATAATAAAAATAATGGCTACATTCTGGGAAGGTTGAAGGCGGGAGGAGAAGGGGACGACAGAGGATGAGACAGTTGGATGGCATCACCGACTCAATGGACATGAGTTTGAGGAAGCTCTGGGAGGTGGTGATGGACAGAGAGGCCTGGCGTGCTGCAGTCCACGGGGTCACAGAGAGTCAGACTTGATTAAATGACTGAACAACAACAGCAATAGCTACATTCAGTCAGAACACAGAGCCCGATTGTACCTGGTTACAGAAGTGTCCGAAGCTGAGAAAATACAAAGTCAGAGGGGAGCGAGGCCACCGGAGGTCAGTCACAGCACAGCGTCACCACCACCCCAGGCCTGGAGCCACGATGGAGAGGAAGGCCCGCCCCCAGCTCCAGTGCTGGGGCCCACGGGAGGGGTCAGGATGCGGAGAAGATGCCGATCCCGCAGGAAACGCCAGCGGAGCAGAGGCAGGGAGTGGGGACGGCCCTCCTGTCCTTCCCGAGCCCTCCACGGCGCTGGCCCGGCTGGATCCCAGTTGGTGAGGGGCCAGAGTCCCCAGACCCACACCCCTTCCCACAGAGTCACCCCCTTCTCAGACGGCACTGCAACCCAGGCTTCTCTTCAGGCCCTCCAGCCTGGGAAGCGCCCCTTATGGCCACCCCGTCACGAGGCCAGTCAGCGCCTCTCAGACCTGCTCCCTTCTCTCCGCCTCCTGGAGCCCATGCTCACCCAGGTCGCCCGCATCGCTCACCCACGCTTTCTCTACCTGAGATCTATCCCACAACCTGTTTAACTCTTCACTGTGCACCAAGAATAATCTTCCTACACCTGGTTGCAGGTTTAGCAAATCAACATTCAAGATGCTCTACTAAATTTGAGCTTCAGATTATACCACGAACATTTTTTTAGTATCATTATGTCTCCTGCACGCATGACCCAGCAATTCTATTCCCTACGTATACACCCAAGGGAAGTGAAAATTTGTATTCCCACAAAATCTGGTCTAAAATGTTTATAACAGCATTGTTTATATTAATAATAGCCAAAAGGCTCAAGAATCTGCCTGCAATGTGGGAGATGTGGGTTCGATCCCTGGAATAGGAAGATTCCCCAGAGAAGGAAATGGCAACCCACTGCAGTATTCTTGCCTGGGAAATCCCATGGACAGAAGAACCTGGTGGGCTACAGTCCATGTGGTCACAAAAAGTCAGACACAACTGAACGGACTTTCACTTTCACTTCAAAAGACTTATCCATCAGATGAATGGATAAAGACAGTGTGGTATATTCATGCCGTGGAATATGATTCATAATAAATGAAATACCAATCCAACAAATAGGGTGTTGGAACCTTGAAAATGTTGCACCGAGGGAAAGAAGCCAGTTACAAACGGTGGGGGTGGGAGGGACGTTAGGAGGGCAGACAAGAGTTACGGGTACCGGTTTGCTTCCATTTTCTCAGGTGAAGCTTTTCTAACGTTGACTGTGGGGATGGTTGCCCGTGTCTGGAAGTTACCAAAAGCCACTGAACTGCTCACTTGAAGTGGGTGAATTGTATGCTGTGAAACATATCTCAGTAGAGCTGTTTGAGGGGAAAAGTACATCCCATGCAATTTTTGGCCTATACTTACACTAAAAATTTATCTTCGCTTCATCTGAAAGTAAAATTTCACTGGGCTTTCTGCATGTTATCAGGTGACCCTACTTGGAGCAGAAATCAGATCATGTGACTCTCTTGTTACACTGTTTCAATGACCTGCCTTTGCAATGCAAGTAATCCATACTTCTTGAAGAACTTTAAGACCAGGAAGGATCTGGTCCCCACCCTCCCCCCAGCCTCCTTTCATGCCAGCATCCTCTTTGCTCCTTCTACTCCAAACGCTGCCCAGCTCAGCTCTGCCAGCAAAACACGATCCTCCAGACTCTGGGTCTTCTTTGCAAGGCTCCCCTCCCCCACTGCCTCCCCCCACACACACACTGGAGGCTGAAGACACCAGTTACACGTTAATCGTAACAGTTCTGGTGAACTGATGGCCAAAGGTAGTTGAAAGAAAAATAAACAGAGCATCAAGGGTGAACCATCCAGCCTAGAGAAAAACCTGAAATGATGGTTGTTTAGTTCTAATATCAACTTTTCTTTTCTAAATATAGTGTTTGTTAGGCATCTTCCATATCAACAACCTCAGATATGCAGATGACACCACCCTTATGGCAGAAAGCAAAGGGGAACTAAAGAGCCTCATGATGAAAGTGAAAGAAGAGAGTGAAAAAGCTGGCCTAAAACTCAACATTCAAAAAATTAAGATCATGGAAGCTGGTCCCATCACTTCATGGCAAATAGATGGGGACAAAACGGAAACAGTGGCAGACTTTATTTTCTTGGTTTCTAAAATCATTGCGGACAGTGACTGCATGCTTAGTCACTTCAGTCATGTCCAGCTCTCTGCAACCCCATGGACGTGGCCTGCCAGGCTCCTCTATCCATGGGATTCTCCAGGCAAGAATACAGGAGTGGGTTGCCATTTTCTTCTCCAAATCTGCAGCCATGAAATTAAAAGATGCTTGGAAGAACAGCTATGACAAACCTAGACAGAGTATTACAAAGAAGAGACATCACTTTCCTGATAAAGGTCTGTTTAGCCAAAGCTGTGGTTTTTCCAGTAGTCAAATATGGATGTTAAATTTGGACCATAATAAGGCTGAGTGCCGAAGAACTGATGACTTTGAACTGTGGTGCTGGAGAAGACTCTTAAGAGTCTCTTGTACTGCATGGAGATCAAACCAGTTAATCTTAAAGGAAATCAGCCCTGAATATTTGGAAGAACTGGTGCTGAAGCCGAAGCTCCAAAATTTTGGCCACCAGATGTGAAGAGCCAACTTATTGGAAAAGACCCTGATGCTGGGGAAAACAGAAGGCAGAAGGAGAAGAGGAAGACAGCAGATGAGATGACTGGATGACATCACCGACTCAATGGACATGAGTTTGAGCAAGCTCTGGGAGATGGTGAAGAGCAAGAAAGCCCAGTATGCCAGAGTAGTCCATGGGGTCACAAAGAGTTGGACACAACTTAATAACAACAACGCGATCTGACATTAACCATGAATCCCTGCCTCCTCTTTTGGGGGAGGGAGGAGGTAGACTCCTCTACAGAAGGTAGGCCCCTGTCCCTGCCCCCTCCTGACTCTGTTCTCATCATTTTCCATCCTAGAACCGTGATCCGTGCCTCAGGGCACCTCCCACTGGTACCTGCTCCCTGGATCTTGCTTCCTGGGGATGCCCTGCAACGAGTGTGCCTGTAGACAGCACGCTGGTCTTGGCCCAGTCCCTGGCAGGTAGGACACACCCTGTAAGCATCTGCTATCAGGAGTGGGAGGAAGTAAGTCAGTGGAGAGATACATCTGAACAAGGGCTTATGGAGAACAGGGGGAATATTGAGATGGTTCCAGTTGCTGACTCTGGAAAGCTGCACAGAGAAATAAACACCAGAGAGGGAGAAAGAGCTGCTGCCAGAGGACCTTCCTGTATCCGCGCCCTGAGAGTGCAGCCAGGTGACTTCATCGCTAGCATCTGAGCAATAAGGCATGGCTTCTCCTAACAGGGCCTGCACCACACACCACGCCTGCAAAGACCTGCCCGGCTTAGCCAAGGCTGATGGCCAGCTGCCCACTCTCATGGGTCCCCTGCACGTGGACTTTGGAGGAGAGGAGATGGACCTGGCCTCTGAACCCCAAAGGATGCACACGCTCATCTGGCCGCAGCTACATCCATAAACCCATGGAGCACTCCAGTCTGCAGGTCCAAGAGGATTATGAGACCAAGTTATAACTCTCACATCATCAAAGGGCCCAAAAGAATGTTTATTCAGATTCCTTGTATGAAAATTCCAAGGTTATCTCCAAGTCTCTGTGTAAAACATCCACATTCAAGGTCACTCCCTCTAACCCCTCCCCTCAAGCACCTCCCCCACAAGAAGGAAACAAGACAGGAATGGACATCAAACCCATAGAGTCCACTCATAGGAAGCTAATTATTTAAAATATACTTAAAAAAAAAAAACCCTTCAGCTCTAGAAATTAACTGATTATTTCAAGGTCTTTTTTTTTTTTCAAGTCTAGAAGTTCACCTTTGATGTTCCATTTATTTTTCTTTCTAGCACATTTGAGAGGTTGGCTCACCAGAATTATTAGACTTAAAAAAACCCTACTAGACTTGAAAAAAATCTTCCCAGTGCAAGAATATCTATTTTCAGAAGTGTAAGATGTCCCTGCCAAAGACTGGGGTTGACATGCATGCACTGCTGATAAAATGTATAAAACAGATGACTGACGAGAACCTACAGGACATACAGGGAGCTCTGCTCGGCGCTCTGTGGACGAAGAGGGGCTCTGTGTACATGTGTGGCCGATTCACTTTGCCGTGCAGCAGAAACTATGTACAATAAAATAAATAAGAAAAGAGAAGCCTGCCATCCCCGAAGCGCACAGGACAAGCAGATCCCAGAGAGAAAACACAGCGCAGCGGGGAAAGCAGAGTCCCCCCCAGGGGGGAGAAGATAGCAGCCCTCCCATCTTCTGCGAGCATTTGTTCAAATAGTGTTTCCATCACGTAGCCTCCTCGGGTTGACAGGTAGAGCCAACATTCAGCATCATAGGAAACCCATTCAGGTCAGTTCAGTCGCTCAGTCGTGTCTGACTCTGCGACCCCATGGACCGCAGCACGCCAGGCCTCCCTGTCCATCACCAGCTCCTTGAGTTTACTTAGACTCATGTCTGCTGAGTCGGTGATGCCACTCAACCATCTCATCCTCTGTCATCCCCTTCTTCTCCCTCCTTCAATCTTTCCCAGCATCAGGGTCTTTTCCAATGAGTCTGTTCTTCGCATCAGGTGGCCAAAGTATTGGAGTTTCAGCTTCAGCATCAGTCCTTCCAATGAATATTCAGGACTGATTTCCTTTAGGATGGACTGGTCGGATCTCCTTGCAGTCCAAGGGACTCTCAAAAGTCTTCTCCAGCACCACAGTTCACGATGCTTTAGATTTGGGGAAATAAGAGATGCAAGGTGTCCGCTGAAATCGAGACATGAGCAAAAACTGAAAATCCTGGATCAGGAACAGCAGCAGCAGGTCTGAAGCATGAGACAGAATGGCAGGGCAGGCTCCCGAGGGGGACAGATTCAGGTGGTACCCAGGAAGAAGGATGCGGAAGGATCCCTGGGTGGAGGAAACCCGAGCAGAAGGAATAACTCTCGTGGTGGCAGCACTTACAGATTTTCACAGATTCTTCACTGGCTTCTGAGTGAGGATGGACAGGAGGCCAAGCTCAGCATCTTCTAGCCAGCACTCATAACTCATTATCAGTGAGGATTTAGAATAAACGGCTGGGATCCTCCCAAGAAGCAGAACGCTTCTTCCTCCAAGGCAGATGATAATAATCACTTTTTACTTTGCATTTTTGTTTTTTGGTTTGTTTTTTTTTTTCCAAACCATTTTCAACCGCAAGTGCCAAGCTTCCTGCCTCAGGAGGGTGCCTGAACCAGGGGAGCATGGGCAGCTGACAGGGGCAATTGCAAAGCTGCTGTCCAGGAGCCCCCTGACCAGGCCCTGCGAGCCAGAGGGTTCTGGCTGGCCCCCTCCAGCGACCGTGCGGGACCCAGCCCAGCACCTCGAAATCCAGGCGACACATCCTGATCGTGTCGTTCCTCGTCAAGCGGGATGTTCTAAGCAGATATCCCCCCTGGTATAAACAGAATACTTAATTTTCTTTTTTAATCATCAGTTTGTGAGCCGGAGGCGGGCACGTCTCCGAGCACTCAGTCAAGGAAAGATTTTGAAGACAAGGCTCGAGGCATTCGAGAGCTTTTCAAAATTGCCTTTTCATTTTCCTCCGTCATCCTTACCTGGGGTTTCCTGTCACCACTGATCCATGGGAACCTAGGTAATTGTTGGAGCTGATGAAACACCCCCCAGTGCTGAAGAACATGACGGAGCAGCCACGGCCAGCGAAGGGGCGCCTGTAATCTTCGGAGTGACCAGTGGGAGGAAATCTGGGGATAAATCCGTCTTTTAAAGAATCCTCTTCCTTTAAAGAGTTGGAAATAGTGAATATTCAAGCTGAGGAAATACTGATCATGGGCAAGCAGGGATGGATGGTGACTCGGATGTTGCTGCAAACAGCCGCCAGGCATCCGTGCTCCTGCGGGGTGACCACTTGGCCGCTCCAGACTCCCCCGTCCCTCTGCTTGGGCAGGCCAGCATGCAGCTCCTCATTTGTTGCAACATAAAAGTCCCCTTAATATTTTTTATCATTGCACATCACAGGCACTAAACGACACCCTCAGGAACAACCTGTCCACCCGGTATGTTTTCAGCATCGCCAGTGTCTTCTGCAATTTTGTGAAGCTTGAAATGAGCCTTCGAGGTGCTGGGGAGAAGTGACAAAGCGCAGACTTCAGAGCCAACTGGCTTCATCCCTGGCGGGCTCTGTCGGTCCCGAGAGCTCAGCGTGGCTTTTCCTCTGCTGGGACAGAGCCCTGCCCAAGGTCCAGGCTGGAAGCTTCCTGCTGCAGGCACAGAGGTGAGCACCAGCCTGGGATGGTCTCTCTGGCCTCAGGGCGGGGAACCCCTCAACCCCCTCCACCCCTGAGTTTTCCAAATAGGTGTTCTTCTGAAGCATTGCTTCCTACCAAAAAGAGATTGCTCACTGCGCCTCCTGGAAAAAAGGTAAAATAAAACCCAGCAGCTATCTCCAGCCGTTTTCACAGATCCCCTGCAGAGGAGGTGTGTGTGTGTATGTGTGGGTGGGGGGGGTGGGTGTGTTCTAAGCCTATTTTGCCTAACGTAATGAAGACGCGGGGCCGTCCTGGGAGCTGGACGCTTAGCGGCTGTGCAGCGTTCCCGCAGACTCTGAGTGTCGTCAGCTGGCGTGTCTGGGGTGCCTAAAGTGAGTCGCAAATGATGCACTTTGACACCCATCCCCTTGAGAGGTGCCAGCTCCCGCTGATCATCTGCTGTAATTATCCCTAAGTGCTGGAGGCCACGCTGCCTCTCCAGCCACGGGACAGGTGGCCTCTGGGTCACTCAATCGGCTCTCTGCCCTGGTGCTTCTCATGTCCTCCGACTCACACTTGGGGCGAAGAACTCCACCGGGCTAAGAGATCCTTGGCATCCGCAGAGCAGTCTCTGCACATCCTGGGCTCCACGTGCCTGCTGGTCTGAGGTGAGCATCACAGGCCAGCCAGGCTGCCTTTTCTCCAGGGACACATGCGCCACCGAGGGTGGCCTCCTCCAAATCGGCCCTCGGGCAAGAAGAGGGCGGACCCAAGCCTCCTTCCTCAGAAAACAGGGAGAAAGGAAAACAGCACTCAGGAATGGGGCACGTTGAGAGCCAAAATGATGACTCTCTCACCCTGAGGACAGCGATGCCTGAGCATAGAGAAAATGAAGCGACTCGCTGCTCCTACAGAGACTTTGCTTGGAGCCAGGTGTCAGCCAGAAGGAAAACGACCAAATAGGAGGATAAATGGGGGTGGGGGAGAGAAAGAAAAGTGTCACAATCAACGAAACAGCTTAGGAGCTGCTGGGTTCTCTTCCTGCCTTTGCCATGACCTGCCACCCGAGAACTGGCTGAGCCTGCGTTGGAAAGGGGCGAAAAAGCTGGAAAAGAGTGACAGAACCCAGACACGGAGAAACACATAAAGCATGCGAGATCGTGAGCACATAAAACACATCCAAATAAATCTGTCATATTACTATATTTACTTCTTTGTCCCTCTTCTGCCGGCTGGCGGCCTTATAAATCTCCCTTGGAGGAAGGGAACGCGGCGGGCGCAGGTAACATATCCTGAGATCGCAAACATAAATATGGAGTTGGGGTGGACGGCCAGCCGCCTATAATGCGTCCGCTCCTTTGATAAGTTAATACGTCCGCATAGCATCGGGCACAGGCGAGCTTGACATTTGAATCATTTATGGCTTGGGGGGGTGAGAGTGGGGGGGGAATGGCAGCAGTCTGATTTTTTTTTCTGGGCAAGAACCCACATGTCTTTATAAGCAGTGAGAGTGTCATTGATGGTGCTCGGGAGCTTTTCCATTTCGGCCATAAAGCATGTGTTTGGGACCCGGGCCATTTCTGGTCAGGAGTTATTATTCAACAGTTCCAACTGGAGAGCGCCCACCTCCCCGGCATCATGCAGGGCTCTGGAGCTCTCTGCCATGGCCCTGAGCAGGTTTCAGCCCAGCAGGGTCATGGAAGTCTCCGTGGCACGTGCTCTAAAAATTTCTTTTCCCATCCATCAGCTGGGCGCGGTCCCTGCCGGGCAGGAAAGTCACCAGGGGGCCTGGGAGGTGTGTTCAATGTGAATAGTTTATGATTGGAAGAAAACCCACTCTGTGCTGATATCCTGCACCGTCTCCCATTTCTGTTGGGTTAATGCCAGCCATAAAAGCTTGAAACGGACCCCAGCTCTGGACCTAAACTGTGTATGTGAGATGCGGTCAGCCCTCTCCTGCGGCAGCACAAACCACTGTGCATGTGTCATTCCAGCCCCCCAGAACCCCAGCAGTATTGATGTCTGCCTCCCTGACATTTTTTGGATGCTTGGTCTGAGCTGGGTCTGGGGAAGCCTGCCTCCTCTTTGCACAGCCCACAGCTGAAATGTCTAAATACGACAGCAAGAGCAGTGTGGTTATCATAGGTGTCAGTCTGGCGAGAACGAGGGAGCTGGAGAGGCTGCTGGGGGTCATTGGAGGAGGCTGGAGCTGGATCCTCTTGAC